TGGTGGGAAAGACTTTAAAACAAAACTTACAACAGTTACTTTTCTCAACAACTGAAATTTAAAATAGTGTGATTAAGAAAAATATGTGAACTGCTTGCAATTTCAAATTAATATTGAAATGTACAGGTTTAGAATTTTCTACAGGGAAAAGTTTTCGGAACTTCAGTAGTCAAAAAAGCATACAAAAACTAGACGTTAAGAACATATCAAATGAGCGAGCAAAGCGAGCATTGGATTGCGAAGCAATCCGAAACGAACTGTTAAAGCAGTTCCGGGGGGTTGTGAGCGCCAGACCATTTAGTTTTTGTCACTTTTTCTGACACAAAAATGCCAATCTAAAATGTTAGGTACTTTCTTGAAATTTGAATTCACAGTTATTCTGATTGAACTCACTACGCAACAGTCTTTGCAGAAATGTTCAACTGATCGAACGTTGAACACGCATCACAGCGTCATTTCTGATCGGATAGCCTTATAAAGCCTTCCCATAGATGCCTTCCCATCGGATAGCCTTCCCATAGATGAAGGTTGACGGGGTCGATGTGATTATCCCTACATGGGTGACCAGAACGTGATAAGAACACGCCTATCTTAACAGAAACTCCCACTTCGATTTGAACACGCCTACTTCGATGGATGGTCCACACTGAACAGTTGACTTGAGACTGCGACATGATCCACCTCCTCGTGCTGTTGCTAGTCAGTCTCGATCACACACAACGTTAGCTTGTATACACTCGACTGCTCATGGCAACACACGACCGTGAACTTAAGACTGCTCTCACGATCAGCATTTAAAAGTACGGCGATCAGCTCCCCCTGCTTCTCACAAAAGACAGTAATGAATCCACTAGTGGTATCTGTTGATCGAATTCAATCACAAATAAATTTCTGGTGGGGGAGCACTGTAGTGTATCTACCACTATAAAAATACAATTCCCTAGTATATAGGTATGGTGGGGGTACCTTTTCATAGATGAAGGTTGATCACTTCACAGGCTCTCAATAGTGTAGATTTTAATGAGATCTCACAGAAGCCCCTCAACATTTTTCTCTTTCAGTATTTAATCTCGTATGACCTACGAATCATAACACTAATTGAGAGAAATATTATTCAAAACAAATTATTTATGGTGTATTTAGTTAATATACGTAAATTATAATCCAATGCAACATTTACAGGACTATCCATTTTCTGCGCTTCTTTGTGGAAATTCATTCCAGTAGTTAATGTATTCATTTAAACTTATTTTCTCCACCACTGCAGGTAAATTATTCAAAAGTTCATTTGCAACGCCGTTACAGCTGGTGATGTTTTTAAAATATTTGCCAATTTACCCAAAAAATTCTGAAAGTTTTTAAATGCCTACCACTGTATAAAATATTTTATAAAAAGTGTTTCTGTATTTAGTCAACTTGGTTAGAGTGGCATTCATTGAGTTCTGGTATTTTATTTGTGTTTTAAGGTAACAGGTATGGAACTCGTTTGCTTCAGAAAGTGGATGTCCCCATCATATCGAATGAGCAATGTGAAGATTGGCACGAGGAGAAAGGAATCGAAATTGTCATATCTCCCGAGATGATGTGTGCAGGATACGAGGACGGAAAAAAGGACGCATGCGTGGTATGTTCTCTCTCACTTTTATAAAAAATTGCAATCTTTTACGGAGGCTGGTGGGTAGGGTCCAAGAGGTCGCGGGTTCGAACCCCGCCGGCCGAAGAATGGTGACTGATGCACGTTCAATCTGTCGAGTCGCAAAGTGCTCCACGTTCCCAAAGCAAACCATATCTCTGCACTGTGGGCCAGAAGAATAGGATCTTTGGCCAAAAGTAAAAAATAAATTTTTTTCAACTAAAATATGTGTAGGCAGTTTTAATGTATCCCAAATTAAGTATTCATAAATATTCCAAACATTATTATTTACTTNGCTCCACGTTCCCAAAGCAAACCATATCTCTGCACTGTGGGTCAGAAGAATATGATCTTTGGCCAAAAGTAAAAAATAAATTTTTTCCAACTAAAATATATGTAGGCAGTTTTAATATATCCCAAATTAAGTATTCATAAATATTCCAAACATTATTATTTACTTTTTGGACCGACAAGAGTTCAATTTAATGAAAAATATGTTTAAAAAATTGCTTTAAATGTAACTTTTATATTTTTTATTTCCTAAATATGTATAGAAATTTCACCTTACTGTTCCATTCTTATCAAAGTGATTATTCTGAAATTATAGTAAAATTTCTCTATGTGTTGGATTAGTTAATGCTCTTGACAAACTTATAGTTTATATCTTATCATTTGACATTTTACAATGTTTGGATGACTTTCGAAAATGAGTTCCAAAAAGTTCCACGAGGTAATTAGCTAAACTTTTTTTTGTTGTCTTCTTTGAAGTTTCTTCTTTAGAAAAAACCTGCCCCCATTTTGCCCGTATTGCAAAGGTGGACTAAATAGACCGAAAAACAAAAATCATGTTTTTTTTCTTCATGTTTTCGCGTTATTTTGTAATTCGCGTTATTTTATGATATTACTTCGGACATATAATTCATTTTCAATGTAAAATAACAAAAATTATTGTATTTTCATTGCTATATTTGATTATTTAAGCGCACTATATTATTTTTTTACTTTTGCTCGCCGTATTTCAGCAACCATTTTTTTTTTGGTATTTTTAGTGTATTTTAAAATTTCAACTATAAATTCAATTTACTTGCACATTAAAACTCCTAAATACAAATTTTATCTGAATACTAATTTTGGTCATGAAACCTTGGATGAACCCCCACTGTGCTCTGGGGGTACTGATCCAGGAGTTCCCTTGTGATCTGGATTGGGTTCAAAATGACAAGGCTACGGAGTTGAACATGAGTAGTCGTCCAAGCCAAGAATTGGGTCGGCTGTTCAACGACGATTATAAAATAGAAAAAATGAAATCTTGCTTTTAAGAGACAGTCAGAAAATAGATTTCCATATTGTTCACATGCTAGAAAGTATTAACTTTCGAAACGTTATCAAAAAGAAAATATCAGTACTTCAATGATATCAAAACGAAAGCATGGATACTATATTTGTATTGAAATTTACACACGAGGTTAAAACGGGTCTGAGGCACATTCATATAAAATACATAAATAATTACAGATACCCTACAACTTTTCATAAAAACACTCAAATTTTAACCGTAACTTATGATTGAATACTTAAATTCTAACTTGTGGGTGAGTTGCAATAAACTTAATTCAATGAAGAGAAAGATTATTTAAAAAAAAAACAGCTTTCGTAATGCTTTTTGTAATTTTCAGCTCGCTTTTTAATAAAATGCTTCATTTAACTTAGTTCTGAGATAAATATTGAGTACAAATGTTGAAAATAAATTTCTTGTAAGTTTTTTTTCAACTTTCTTGACGCACTATAAAAACAGAATAGTTTTTTAAACTGAAAGTACTGATTCAGTTTGAAATGTTGTTCATAATTTCGTTAAATATGTTTGTGGGAGAGCTCACTCATCCCAATGCTTTTGCACCCATCAGCTGTCTTAAAATATCCTCAGAAGATCGTGGGTCCCCGTCAAGATAGCGATGACATTTCATGGTCTCCGTAAAACGCATCTGCGAGTTAGATCTATCAAAAAAGTGACTCATGAAAACCAGTTTATCTTAGTACTTGATACAAACGTTCCTTTGTCTTCTAGGTTGAATTCAAAATGACAAGGATACAGAGTTGCAAACCTATAAAAAGGCCGACTGCTCAACGCCGTTTATAAAATAAAATATAGGAGTGCTTGAAATTGTTAAACCAAAAAAGTTTTTAAGTATTCGTAAAATTTACTTTTTTTACTTACAAGTTAGCTTTCCGTTTTATATCCGTATTTACTGTCATTGAACGTTTCAGTTTTACGAAAACTTTATCCTATTTTTCAAATAAATAATCCGTCAAAATAACGTATACTACACAGTAAAATGTTTTTTAGCAAAATGTAAGTAATGTAGGCTTTTTTTATGTATATCGAAACTTTTCGGGTTTTTTTCTTTTTTTTTAAATTCAACATTTTTGTTTTGCGAACTGTTGAATTTGTTTTAACGTACGGTTGAAGAAAATAAAAAAGATAGTACTCATTCTTAAACAAGTGAAAAGCGTTTGATGAAATATACTTTAAATGAACGAAATTTGTTTACTTTTACGACTTCAGTTTTACGCAAATTATAAGATGTCTAAGTTAAAATTTATAGGTTAAGTATACATATTTTTCGATGCAAAATCAGAGCCTGACAAGGGCAAGAGCATACGAGGCATTTATTCCGGGCCCCACATCAGAAGGGGGGCCCCCAAATCAATATAAAAACTTACGTATCCTTCTTTAATGAACATTTTTAAACAAAATATGAGTGCAGTGTAAAATCCGTCAGTTTTATGTTAGATTTTTATTCATCTATCGTATGAACACAATAAATCTATATTTCGTAAATCCATGACTTTCTAGTGCGGAATTCAACAAAATTTTCGCAATCACGATTAACATATTTAGCCAATCAAATGCCTGTATTTTTACAAATTGCAAAATACCGCTTGTTTACAAAAATACAGGCTTTTGATTGGCTTAAGTGAGCCATCGTCATGGCGAAAGTTTAGCTGAATTCCGCTCTAATGTCAGCAAAGATATGAATGTTTCACAGCTAGATGTTAACAATCAGAAAACTGCCATCGGCATGATGGACATAGAATTGTTAGATATTTCGTCTGACATTGGAGAGGGGGGACTTTATAGCTATTTCAGAGTCTAGTTTATTTTCTTCTTATACACCGAAGAGCCATTACATTATGACCACCCTGCTAATAACATGTAGGACCACGTTTAGCCCTCAAAAGTGCTAGCACCCGCCTTTACATTGATTCCACAAGGTGCTGATAAGTAGTCTGAGGTATCTGGTACCAAGCGCTCACCAACTGGTCCTGCAATTCCCTCACATTGCGAGGGAATAGCGTGTCAGCATGAATTTGGTTTTCCAAGTAGGACAAAATTCTCTATTGGATGAAGGTCAGATGAATTTGGGGGGCAAGACACTAGTTGAAAGTCACTGGAATGTTCCTCGACGATTCAACCCGTATGACATGGTGCATTATCCTGTTGGCAAACACCATCCCCCGCAGGAAAAACTGTGGCCATGAATGGGTGAACCTGGTCTGCAACTATATTCAAGTAGCTTACTGACGTCAGGGATTGTTCTATGAGGATTATGGGTCCTAATGTGCCCCATGAAAACATTGTTCCTGGGTGAGAAACCGGAAAAAAATGGGAGAGCCCATTGTTATAGATGGAGAGTGGTCATAATGTAATGACTCTTCGGTGTATATGTATAATGAGGTGAAAAAAAAATTTTTTTCTAAAGAAGTTTTTGTCCCGGACCCCAATTAGGCTAAGTCGGGCCCTGCGTAAATTTTATATTTTTCTGCTACATTTGTGCTGTTAAAGTGAAGTTACTGAGACTTAAGAGTTTATCCATCCGAGTTGAGTTTAAGGGATGTTTATTAGCTTTAACCCCTTCCCTTGCCAACTTTTTTGAAGAAAAAAAAATGCACAAAATCGACCTATTTCTTTATTTCATTAATAAATTCAAGGAACTGAAACAAAACAAAATGCACAAGTTTTAAGTTGAGATTTTTTATATGTTTAATAAAACATTTTAATCACCATCAAATTACTATCCAGAGGTATCTCGGGCAAAAGTTAAGTATCAGTCTTTATAATATAGTTTTTAAAAGTGATGATTTCCAAACACCACTGAAGTAATACGATAGCACAAAACGCGTGTTCAAAAATAAAACTCGGAAAACTTCCAATCTCAGCAGATAATTATTTATTTTTTTTGCTTCCGGCCGAGTAATAAAGCAAAACGTACTGACACATTCTATTTCGCCCGAGTATTCTCGGGATGATCAATATCTGCAACGAGTTAACTCGGTATAATGACGGTTCATACCCAAAGTGGATATTGAAAGGCTAATTTCCATTTTTCAGGGTGATTCTGGTGGTCCCCTGATAGTCTCTGTTCATGGACGATGGGTAGTGGTCGGACTTGTATCTGCTGGATTTGGATGTGCACAAAGTAAACAACCTGGAATTTACCATAGGGTACCCCACACAGTGGAATGGCTTCGAGATAACATCACTTCATAGTCACTTCTACAAGAATTTTTATGACTGTGCCATTTTTTTTTATGACAGCATTTCTATACTCCTTTAAGAAGGACATGTTTTTAACTATTCATTTTTAATATTCACTGAACGAACGATTTTACACTCCCTGGCCCCCCGCACTCTAAGAGATTTTATGTAAAATCTTAATTATCAGGTGATTACTCTATACAGCTTTGATGTTTTGACGTGACTGTTTGTTTATGTTTTTGTATCAATGGGTTAACATTGTAATGCAATACAGTAAAAATAAATAAAAATAGGAAGTATATGAAAAATCTCCAGCATAAAAAACCATAACATGCGTGTTTAACTATAAAAGTATGGCCTATAAACGCGTGCAAATCATTTCATTATTAAAACACTACAGTGGGTCTAATTTAGGTTAATTATTGTAATATGCTAATATAATACCTGATATAATAATTATTCTATATTTGTGCAATATATAGTCTAATGTATATTATATATTGTCTCGTCAAACCCATTGATACAAGAACGTGAGCAAGTGCAAATAGTGGCATAAGAAGCTGTATAGAGTATCACCTGATAAATAAGATTTTACGTGGAATCTCTTAGAGTGAGTCTAAATAATTTGACTGTATGTGTGAGTGAAGCAGTTCTTTTTCTTGGGGGTCCTGAAAGTGGCATTTGAAAAAGAAGTTAGACAGACTCTAGGGATTTGCTGATGAAAGAAACTTCATTCGCTATGAAGAACGTTTTACTCATTCTGTAAAAAAAAAAAAATTCAATTTTTTTTAGGCATTTTTTTCCTGTAATTTCATTGTGTTTTCATATTGCAAATGTTGATCATTTGAAAATGATGCGTATGTATAAAAAAAAAATTTTTTTTTAAATAAAGAGATTTTAATATCTTTAAAGCTTTTTCATTCTTGAACTATTTTGAGTGAGTATTTGTTTCTGATTTATAAATGCTGGACGTGTCGCCAATTTTTTTTTCTTTGGAGAGAAATGTTTTTGATTACAAAATTAAAAATATGATACAGAGAACTCATTGCACATTAGACATAGCTGGGGAAAAAATGAAACTTTGAAATTTCAAATATAGTTTTAACCTTATTTAGAAAATGTAAGCTTTAAATTTTTTTACTGTTATTCATAAAATTCGTCAAAATTAATGTTCATCAGTTAGAAATGGCAGAATAATATGCCGAGCACTAAATGAGATTAAATTCTTTTATAATTTTCCTTACATTTTTTAAAAAATTCCAATTTTTTACTCATTAATGGAAAATAGTACAAAATACTTTCAACTTTGATTGACATAAATGATGGATTAAAAACTTCATTGCATTCTGTTCTGTAGTTTTTGCGAATCTTTACGCGGAAGCAAAAAAACAAAAGTTTGATATGAATAAATTTACTTTTCAAAAAAGTTAACGTACTTAAATTAAATAATCTCTTTTTTGTTTAAGGCTGAGTTCACTAAAGATTTAAAAAAAAAAAATAAACAATGGAATTCATTTAAATCTCATATTCTACTCCTGGATCAAGTTTTGGGAGAAATTTGTCTTCATGGAAGACGTTTTGAAAGAACTAACCCGCATTTGCGTTTTATGGAGAAAAACTGGTACACCTTCCACGGTTAGCCTGACGGGAAGGGGGCTCTAACTCATGATCCTTCCACTACTTGGGATATTTTACGTTCTCAGTCGCTGAGCCGGGTGTAAAATTCATATCGAAAAGCCATTGCTGCGTTTCGAACCCAGGTCCACTGATTGGGACGCGAGCTCTCTGTCATTTGAGCCACCACGACTTCGGATAATATGTGACCCAGGTTTGAATCCAGCGGTTTGAACTTCTGTCAAATTCTGCTCCCGGTTCACAACGACCACAGTGCTAACGTAAAATATCCTCTGTGGTTGACGGATCATGGGTTAAGTACTCTTGCAGTAGTCCTAAAAATGGGAAGTTTTCGTCGTTTTACGCTCCGTCTAACGCTAATGAGAGTTAGTTTCTAATAGTGCTAATAATTTATCCCAATATCCAAAAGGTTATTTTTCCTAATAGTTGTTCCGGGTGTTCCTTTGTCCTCCGGGTTCGATTCAAAATTAAGCTACTATGGAGTTGAAGATTGGTAGTCGTAAAATCAAAATTGGATCGGCTGTTCTACATATAAAAAAAGTTATATCATGACAATTTAAAAATGAATGAAATTATATCAGAAATTTTGCATTAAACCTCTACTTAGAATTCAGTAGTAAACCACTCTGATATTTTGAAGAGGGTCATAGAAGACTGTAGATATTAGAAAATTTAGAAAAGAGCTACGAAATTATTAGCGTTGCATGAAACCTAATAAATTTGTTTCAAATACTTCCAAAAGTTTCAAAACCAAGACGGAACACAACTATGGAATTATCTTTAGCTAAATAAATTTCATAATTGCAGGCAAGTTTTTTTTTTAATTCGCATAAAAAATTTTCGGGATAGGACGCAATACACAAAAAGTTAAATGATCATCAAGAGGTACGCTCTCCTGACCAAACTATGAGGACCCTATTTCCCGGTCCTATGTTTTGGGGAGATAGAAATTTTAAAACGTTGGAAAAAAAAGTAAGTTTATTCAGAGAAAGTACGTCTCTGATTTCGCAACTTAAAATATCATTGCACTAATTAATCAGCCTATTTGAGGTCGCACCCTCGAATTATTAAGATAGTGTCCTAAAACGTGAAGATCCGAGCATTCAATCGAAAGTTATTCAGGATGGTTCGGTATTTTTTGCGCTCTATAAAACAGAAGAGGAATCTGAAAAATGAATGGACTAGGACGAAAAAGCTAAAGTAGATATAATTTTATACTTTCGGAGTTAAATCAAGTGAATTTGAAAGAAAGCTTCTCTTAAAAATCCAAGAAAAAAAAAGTGACTGAAATTTGGACATCGATTCTATTCTGTCCACATTCGAATCTAACCTACGCCGGATGTGGTAGAGAAGTAATGCAGCAGTTATCGTGAATGAGTGGAGTCAAAAGAATGAGCGAAATATTGGATAGATCCGATTCATTTGTTCGTTGTTATATTTATTCGAGATTTTAATATCTTCTGAGGATAGATTAGGAGAAACATCAGCGTTCGGAATACCGATTCAATGCGTACTTGATCTTGGGGGAGGGGACAATCGATGTAGGGCCTGTCGGACAAATGTATACCGGGCAGTGACGCTTCACTAGACCCAGTATATACTATTTCGGACATTCATCAAAGCGACTATGTGATTGTCAACATCCACCGATTTCGGTCATTCACAGTAACACTAACGAATCGGCGTTTTAAAAAGACTTATTTTCCGTAAAGCTCCAAAAACTGATTCAAATGACCGTCGAAAAAACCGATCCGCTGACTGTTATTATAAACACTCTGAAAAGGATACAAAAAGAAATAAGAAACTTATTGCTTATCATCCAGCATAAAACTAAAAATGTGGAGTTAGGTTTATGAATTCTCGAACTTTTTTGCCTCCCCCTCTCCTGTACTCTAAAGGAGAAACTCAATGGGCATGCTGACGTGGAAATGACAGGTGCTGGAAAATACTGTCACCATTTTTTCAGAATCCTCAGCCCCCCAAGCGACTGCCCCTTCACTCGCGTTTTCAAAATGTCACAAAAAGAGAGCACATTATTCAATAAGACGACGACATCACAACGCAACGAGGGTAAGTCAACCGACCTTTTTAAGAGTGAGCAAACTAAATAGAGCGTTTTTCACAGTTTCAAATGAGAAAGAAATATAATTATGAAAACAAAAGGAAACGCATTTATGAGGTGCGCAGAGGCTCTCTCTTTACGCATGAGTGATTCAGTTACTGTGTTACAAGTGTGACCTACCTTTTTGCTTTGTTTCAATGTCAAGCACTTGGTTGAGCATCTCGCATCTTCTTTTCATGCACTCAAATCCCGTTAGAGTGAGCTACCGGATACAGTGACCGAAATGTTCGCTCTGCTCTACACATATAATATATTTTGTGTATAGAGTGAACCAAATGAAGAGAGGAGAGTATATGAACTTTTTTCTGTCTTCGACTGATATTTTTTTTCTTCATTTTTTTCGGTCATTTTGAAATGTCTACATAAAATACGTATATACCGATTATTAAAACCATCCTATTGAGTAGAATGTGCATTCTTGTTTGCATCTCCCTCCATTTTTTGTACGCAAGACGAAGGGCGATAAAAGTGTTTTTTAATCATTTTTGCATTTACTTTTATGGATCATTTATTTAAATAATGTGTCATGAAGGGAAGCAGTTCGGAAAAATGGTTTGCAGTGCTGATAAACGGAACTTCCGGTTATAGTGAACCGAAATGTTGTTTCGTGGAAGGTTCGCTATAGCGGGGTTATAGCTCTCTCCACAAAATATAATATGTGTGTATAACAAGGCACGTTTCGTTCGCTCTATCCGGGAGTTCACGATAAACCATGTTCACTATAACGGAGTTTGGATTGTCACATAATAATTTGTCTCTTTATCATTTAATTTAAAAATAATTAAAAATTTAGTTATCCCAGATTTGTTAAATGCCATAAATATAGGGACCGACTCATAATTTACCAGCTTTGAAAAAATATCACTAAACAGTAAATGATCGGTGGTTCAGTCTAATGAACGCAAGATATTTAAAAAACAAACTTTAATGCTTTCATTCAACTTATGGTTTACATTCATAATGAGACACACAAAAAAGAAAATAAATAATGGAATGAATAGGAGAGGGGGAGACAAGCTTCAAAACCAACTGTATTTTCATTTTTTTAAACATTTCATTGTTTGTTATTAACTACAAATTAACAACTTTTAACAAAAATGTAAGGAGACCATTCAGTTATTTACAAATGATTAGATTTTTGTTGTTGTTGTTAAGGCTGTGCCAAATGAATGGCTGTAAAAGCTTTTAAGCATAAACAGCGCGACGAAGTTTTCCTTTTTCGATCGACAGCATATATATTATGCAGCATATACTCAAGCGATGGCTCGAAAGAACGCGTGAGGAAGGGATGCGTTTTCTATCAGGGCAGGAGTTATTTTAATACCTCTGCTATCTGCAGTAACTCATAAACCGGTTATAGTAAATGAAGGAAAAATAGCTCTAAAAAATAAGCCAATACGAATGAAATTTGAATATGTTGTCAAAAAAGAGTTCATTTACGTCGCACTAGAGCCGCACAATGGGCGCTATTGGCGACGGTCTGGGAAACATCCCTGAGGATGATCCGAAGACATGCCATCGCAATTTTGATCCTCTGCAGAGGGAATGGCACCCCCGCTTCTGTAGCTTTACAACATGCACGCGAAGTCGAACACTTTACGGTAGAACAGTTTACAAGGACTCATACCGCACACCCTCGGTCCCTACGCCGGTCCAAGTGGTCCCCGCACACTGACGATAAGAGTTGGCAAATAAAACTACAATTATACAAATGAGTTGCCGCGCTGTGATGGAATGAAATCATTTGCATAAAATTGTACGCTTCATCTGCCAATTTATACTCTGTTTCCGAAAGTAGAAATTTGAGATTAAACTAGAAATTTTTTTTATAACCGTCATTGAAGAGCCGACCGAATTTTTTGGGCTTACGACTACTTATGTTCAACTTCGTCACCTTGTCATTTTGAACCAATCCAGAAGACAAGGGAACTCCTGGATCAAGTATGGGGATAAATTTGCCTTCGGGGAGGACTTTTTGGTGGAACTCACCCGCTTGTGGGTTACATGGAAAGGAAGCGGATTCTCTCCGAAAAGCCATCGCTGGGGTTTCGAACCCGATTCACCTTATTGGAAGACGAATGTTCTATCTCCTGAGCCGTCACGGCTATATAGCCAAATTTGTTTTTAATATTCGTCGTGGAACAGCCGACCCAA